TATTATAGTTTAATCAATAAAAGTCCACCCACAAAACATTCTCCAATATTTTAACCAAGATTTTAATGCCATATGATTTATTTGCTGAAGACTTTCCACTAACAAATGGAGACTTGGCAACTGGTATGCAACCATAAATATTTTGACAAATGAAACACACTAGACTTTCAGCAAAAATGATTTTGATTTGGATTTGGATTTGAGACGTTTCGCTAAATTAGCCAGCACTCGCTCTCAAATTCGCCTAAAAACCGTTTTTAAGTGATTTTTCGAGTCATTTGCTGCCACAGAAGCCCCTAGGACCGCATTATTAAGCTCGACTAGGTGGCAGAGACACTCTTCTGGAAGAAATCAGAGGCGGAAAGCGAAAAAGTCAAAATTTAGGCATTCCAATTTTTCAGGGGTCCTTTTTGCCCAGATATCGCACCCGATGTGAAATGTTTTCAACTGTAAGATAGATTTTTGTTACTAGCTGTTGACATAGAGTACATTTGGTTGTCTTCATTTGTGATCTCGGAAACTTGCAATTTTTASAAACATCAGTACAGTAGTGCTGATAATTCTTAAAGCGAACAGGAAAGAGTTAAGCAATACAAGAATTTCTCATCATATTAAAGTCAATGGTATGAGTCAATGGTCAGAGTCAAATAAATATTAACCTTTTTTCGATAAATGTAATATTGCATTAATTATAATCTCAWAAATTTTGTTATGCTCGTCACATGAAATTTATTTGTAAAATATGCTATATTTTCCTGTCCTGTTACATGAAGAAAATATTTTAAAATCCTTTCATTTCCTTTTTGTTCTTATCAAAGACAAGTATACAATTGTCATGAAATAATAGATTCTCGACTCCTACAGCGCCCGAAAAAYTCTACAAAATCCTTGTTACATAAATGTCAATTAAAACACTGTTTCTGATAAAGTTCAGTCCTAGTTCTGCCATCTAATCCATTAAGTTTTCCATTTTTCCCAACACAGCTTCTGAGAGGTCTTTCTTTTTGACCCCTACTTCAGAACATTTTCTAACCAATATATTTTCTAATCAAATGAATCCTGGAAAAACACCGTACTGGGTGCCAGCAACCTTCCCCTCCATCCTCAAATAATTTTTTTAATTTATAAAGTCTAGAGCKTTCTCAGAATTCTGCCCAAATTTCGAGTTGCTTGTGTTCCTCAATAAGCCAAAACATCCAGAAATTACTGTGGCAGGTCCAAAAATTTGCCTTTAGACGGTCTTTTAAGTAAAACACCTTAAGTCAAGGTCCAAGTTCACCGAATCACCTATTCAAACAAAATCGCCTAAAAAGTTACACATCAAGCTGGATTCTTTCAGCATGTAAGCTCCTTTGATACCTACAAACTTAATGATGTCCGTAGAGTAGTGACTAAAGACAAAAAAGGCTAAAAAGCAGCAAAAATCCATATTTCTTGGAGTCTAGCTTCCCACAAAAACAAGCAAACTGTCAAACCAAGCATTGTGCAAGAATAATGAACCCTCGGTATTACAAAACGCAGTTTTGCAGTTTTCCATAGAAATATGGGAAACACAGTGTCGAGAGGACATTTGAAATCTTTTACCCTCAAAAATGCCATATTTTTCTCAAAAGTCCCACTAGTCAAACAGTTAATATGATTGGCTAACAAGAAAGGAATGTATCTTTGTAACTTGATATGATT